CTTGGCTTTAGCCACGCATGTAAGGTTAGGAAAACCTCCTACAGGACACACACAGGGACACAAGACAGGAGAGGCCCAGCCCCAATTGCTGGTGCCTGCAGCTGGTGGGAATAACCACACTGTGCAAGAAAATCGCATAGCTATCCTGCAGCAAAAAGTCCTGCTAATCGGCTGTGAAGGGAAGCTTGCATGGCCTGGCTGCCCTGGCCAGCAATGACACACAGAAGAGGTCCCTCTGAAGTAACAAGGAGAACTGGGACTTGTGTATGTCCTGACTTTGCTGCCTCTTGAGGAAATTCCTGTCTTCAATAAGTCTTGCTACAACGAGCCCTGACTGAACTGAAGAACTCAGCTAGCTAAAGAGATTTTCAACATTTTCTGACAAGGAGAATAAAACCCACTGAAGTCAAGTAAATTTGATACTAAGCTCTGCTGCAGCTGTTTAACATCCCAGACCTTCCCATTTCTCCTTCCTTGCCAAACAAGGCAAGGCAAATCACATTCACAGTTCCTCTTGAACATGTGACATGGGTTTGCAGCATAACAAGATTAGTTTTCCCTGTAATCCTCTTAAAATGTCTTTCATGATTGTCTTTTCATCTTTTGGTGTTCTGGAACTTGGATTAATGGGATTGAGATTTATTCCACAGGTCCTGTTTGATAAACTGCTTTCAAGAATTAGTTGCCTACAAACATGTTTAATTTGGTAAAAGCATTTTAATGGGTAGCTGAATTATGCAGTGTTACACCAAACATACTCTAAGGCCTATATATGTACTTGCAGTATTTATGTCTGTAGACACTGTTAGGGAGGTGAATTAAACAAGATAGGCTTACTCATTTCAGAGTGTCTAAAATACCTCACGTGGCTTCTCTTGGCAGATTTGCAGAGCCTCAGCTGCATGCTTGCAAACTAGCCAACAAACTGACCATGTGCCTTTTCTTGCTCTTACCATGTTTCAAGCACCATCCTTGACCTATCCCTTCCATTGGTCCCACAGGATGTATTCACCTTGCAATCAGCTTGATCTGGTCCCCTTGTCACTGAATCCTTGTTTAGTTAGTAGAAGCTTGATACCAAAGGAACAGCTGGTTTGCTGGAGCACTGAGGTGACAAATCCCACATCCCATTTCATGCAACACTGAGTGAGCGAGTGAGCAACTGAATTGCTACGCCTGGTGCCTTGGCATAACCAGTATGTATTTTACAAACAGAAAAAAACTAAAGCATGGAGCAATTACATGATGTTGACCAGAGCTGCTTACTGCATAACTCAGGGTTGTTGCAACTCCTGTGTTTAGCCCAAAAGACCACCCTGCTGATGTAAAACTAGTATATGGCTTTATGCCTTCCCCTGCCTGTCCTCCTGCCTCTTACAACTGACTCCATTTCAACCCCATCTCTTTAGTTAAGTCTTATTCTAGTGACAAGACCTCCTACCTTCCGCAGGAGGTGCGGGAGGGGGGCCCATGGCTGGAGAATATTTCTGAATCACAGTGGCACCCTCTACTATGCAGCGACCTCTGGTGAAGGATAAACACTGTGCTTGGCTGACCTTCACGCCCCATTTCCAAGGTGAATTTACAGCTGTAAAACCGCAGCACGCAGCAGTGCTTGGGTTACAAGCCAGGCTGTTCTCATTCAAGATACATCCTTTGCTGTCTGTTCCATTCTTCGCATTACTCTGTAGCAACCTATTTAACACAACCTAAATTGCCTGTCTATGGCCACTAAAAGCAAGATAACTGCTGCTGTGCTGTGTTCCCCAGACTGCAGTGGGCATCCCCTAAGTGACATGAACCTGAGTGGAACCACTCACACATCAGCAGGAGCCTGAGCTGAGAGAGGAGCAGTGGTGTAAACTGGCAGTCCTTCAGTTACCTGTTTGGGAGCTCCTGCTCTGGAATAAGGTTGGATCACAGGCCTGATGTTGCCACTGCACTTTAGACAAGTCACTAAACATCTCTGAAGCTGGATTTTTTATTTTCTAAGAGAAAAATAAAAATAAAATTAACTTCCAAAGCTATACTCGCTCATCCCAGCAAAGCACATTACATGTACTGATGCCACAAGCCCGGGTGCACTCAGCACCGGTTTGTCTCCAGGCACTCATGCAGTGTGACACCCTGTGCATACTGGTGCCTGTACTGGGCCAAGGCTTCCCTGCAGTGCTGGTGCCAGATCTGGGTGGGAGGCTGCAGCCAGAGGGTCCAACTCCAAGCGCAGGGAGAGGCACATGGCTGAACTCGCCTGCCTTCACCCTGTCACCAAAATCTGGAATAAACTGTCTAATGAGACAGGTTAGAGAGCTGACATTATTATGGTATTGGGTGCATGGGGGATCACTCCACCTACCATGCACACCCAGAACAGACATTTTGCATCTTATATACCTTTATTATATATATATTAATCATAATTCCAAAAAAATGCCCACCCAATTCTTGTTATTCATTGCATATGGTAAGTTTGGTAGGTAAGGCCATAGCGTAGGCCCTGTGAATTTGAGGAGTGGTCTCTGGGAGTCATCTGCTGAGAAATACCCCTACTCATTTTACCCTTTAATGGAATTCTGTTAGTTACGGACACTGTAAGTCCTGCCAATTAACTACAATTACAAATAGGCTAGCTTACGAGAAGCTCCTTTAACTGTTTCCTTTTGCAGCTGTTTACCTATTTCTTGGGCCTGATTGATGGAAGGCCCACATCAATTCTAAAGAAGACATGTGGTCATCTCGCTGCACGCCTTATCCTGTAGCCTTGTCTGTACCTCTATACACAATGACACACTTGTTTAATCCGGCATCAGGCCCTCTCCTCACACAAAGCGCGGGCACGACCGGGGGCGGGCTGCAGGCTCGACCCGCGCGCACCGCCATGAGGCGAGCGGAGCCAGAGCGCAGCGGCGCGGCCGAGAAGGCCCCGCGCTCGTCCTGCCCTTCGCCGCGAAATGGCGGCAGCGGCCTCCCCCTCTGCTGAGAGTACCTCAGGACCCCACCACCAGCTCCGAGCCTGACGGAGCGGGCAGCGGACGGCTCTGCCCACGGCCCCCCGGAGGAGCAGAACCCTCCACCACAAGGTCAGAAAGATAAGGGGCAAAACACAGAGGATCCCGAGAGCAGCCCGAGCGGCACCGCCCAACATGGCGCCGGAGCCCGCCCTTCTGCCTCGAGGCGGGCGGGGCCGGGGCGGGCCCCGAGGACCCTATAAAGTGCCTCTCGCGGAGCTTGCCGTCCTCTTGCTCCGGCGTGGCTGAGGTATGTAGGGTTGTGGGTGGGTTGCGGGCGAGGTCGGAGGGCTGGTGGGTTCGGGTCTTTGCTCTTTGCGCCCTCCTCGTAGCTCTTCTTGCCTGAGCGGGTTTCTGGCGGCCGCCGGTCTCATCTCCCTGCCCGCCCGCTGAGGGAGCGGTGAGGCCTAGTGGCATGGCCGCCTCTTCCTGCTCAGCGCCGGGGCCCCGTCCCCAAGGGCTCTGCTGCGCGCTCCTGCGGCTCTTCCGGGTAAGCGATCGCCCGGCCGCCTCTCGCGGGGACGTCTTGGTTGATGCCCTGGCCCTGCGGGGGGAGGCGGGATCGCGGCGCGGGCCGGGGGCTCGGTGGTGACGGGCTTTTCCCGTCAGAGCGGCAGTGTTGTCTTCTCACCGCTAAAGCCAGGTCGTGTCTGATGCACCAGTGGGAAGCACCGCTGTGTCCCAGGCACTTGCGAGACTCGGTGCTTACGGTTCCCTTTGGCTTCTCTCACAGGGCCTCCCGGAGATCTGATGCCGCAGGGTCAGGCGTGCCAGGAGAACAGTTCCCTGGTTTGCTCTGCCATGCGTAAGCCTCTGGCAGGGGGGAATGGTAAGTCCTTAAAGTAACTCTGCCTCACTGGCTTAAAAATAAGTATTTTGTAAATTATTTTTTTTTTTCAAAAGTTAACGAGCTGTTTCTGCAGTGCTTTGTAAGGTTGGCGTCCTTGGGGACGTTTAATCCCTGGGCCTGTTTAGTCTAGAGGGGGTCTCGTTAACGCATATGAGTATGTCAAAGATGGGTGCCACGAGGATGGTGCCAGACTCCTTTCAGTGCTGTCCAGCAACAGGACAAGGAGCAGTGGCGATAAGCTAAAACATGAGAAGTTTAAACCATAAAATGAGTACCAGCTTTTTAACGCTGAGAGTGGCAGAGCACTGGAACAGGCTGCCCAGGGAGGTTGTGGAGTTACCGTGTCGAGAGACATTCAAAACCCACCTGCCCGTGTTCCTGTGTAACCTGCTGTAGGTGGCCCTTCCTTGGCAGGGGGATTGGACTAGATGATGTCTAGAGGTCCCTTCCAGCCTTAATAATATGATTCTGTTAATAGATGTGTAGGTGTGACAGCTAGCATATGTTCTGTAGAGATGAGAGGGTTTCTTCCTGCAGAAGCTTTGCCACTAGGCCTTTTTTGCGTTGTCTCATTCCTGTTACGTGCAAGGTAGCAGGTCAAGAAGTCTACAGTCTGGGAGGTTGAGAGCTCTGCCCTGAGGCCAGTGCCCTGGGGACCAGGCCATGCTGGAGACAGGTGCTCTGCTGCAGCCGTGGCATGGGGCAGAGCTGGGCTGGTTGCAGTGGGCCCTTGGAGGAGGGGCTGCTTCTGCAGTTTTCCTGCCCTGCCCCTTGCTGGAAGTAGCGTTCACTGCATGGCCTGTGCCGTTTGTGGCCGAGCTGACCTACCTTTACATTAGAAGGTGGATGCCTCACGTGGCCATAAAGGCTGGGCTTGCAGGAGTGTGTAATCTCATCTCTTTCCTGTCTCCTGCTTTTCTGTTAAATCTGTCTTGTACTCTGCTGCTGAAGCTCCATACATCAGTGTGTTTTGTCTGGATTTTTGAAGTATTACCATCCAGTGTGCCTGCTAAACATGCCAATCATCCAGCTCTTTTTGGGGAAGATCTGTATGAATTCACTCAGTGCCCATGCGCCTGCTGGGAGAGGTGGGAGTGTGGCACATCTGCTGTGGGTGTGCAGCCACCTAACCCCATGGGACTGCTGGTGTAAATGATGACTAAATTTTTTTCCCCATCAGAGCGACAGTGTTGATTTCTTGCTGTTCCAAGCCAGATCATGTCTGATGCACCAGTGGGGAAGTGTTGCTGTGTCCCACACCCCTGGTATGGCCTGGTGCTAACTGTTCCTTTTGGTTTTATTTATAGGGTGCTGCAAAGGCTCTGGACTGTTGAGCCTCTGGGAGACGAGATGTGGTGGCTGTAGCTGTTAGTGATCAGTTGTGTGATAAGGGCAGTGGCCTGGTTTACTCCAACATGCTGAATCTAGCAAGTAAAAATGGTAAGTCTTTAGAGTAGTAACTGATCACTGGTTTAAATTGAATTAAAAAAAATGAAAGATGGGGATATACCTTTCTGAAAGGGAGTTGCTCAGCACTCAGTGGTCACCATATATGTGCATGGCTTTGCCACTTCCTCTGCCATAAGTTAACTCCCTCCCTGCAGATCTGCCACAGGAGGTGGGAGTGTGGCACAGCTGCTGTGGGTGTGCGGCCACCTAACCCCATGGGACTGCTGGTGTAAATGATGACTAAATTTTTTCCCCATCAGAGCGACAGTGTTGATTTCTTGCTGTTCCAAGCCAGATCATGTCTGATGCACCAGTGGGGAAGTTTTGCTGTGTGCATGTTGCAGTATGGCCTGGTATTAACTGTTCCTTTTGCTTTTCTAATAGAGTGCTGTGAAGGCAAATGGGCTGTTGAGCCTCTGGGAGACTAGATGTGGTGGCTGTAGCTGGCAGTGATCAGTTGTGTGATGAGGGCAGTTGCCTGCTTTGCTCCACCATGTCTGAACCTCTAGCAAGTAAGGTTGGTAAGTCTTTGGAGTAACTGTTGGTTAAATTAAATTTAAATAAAGTGAAAAAGGCAGGGGGAGATACACCTTTCTGCAAGGGAGTTGTTTCCGTTTTTTCCCTAGCGACTTGGCTGATGTGTAAATTTGAGCATTAGCCTAGGTGTTGCAGAAGTAAAAGCACATGTTTCCCTCAGGCAGAAGCATTGCAATTGAGTCCTTTGTGCCTCGTGTTGCTCCTGTTCTGCCTGCCCAAAGTGTGGCTAGTGAACAGGAATCTGCACGCTGCATCAGTGCAGGCTGAGCTGGAGCAGGATGGTGGTTTACAGGTCTGTGCCATTGTCGCTGATGCATTCTGTTCAGAAAGCTCATTTTAAGAACACTGCATGGAGACCTATGGGTGATTGCTGATCAGAGCAGCTGCCCCAGTAAGGGGGAGGAAGCAGTCGTCCTGGCTGAAGCGTGTTCCTTTGGAAGAGAAATGCTGTTGAGTCTTTTTTGCTGTTTTCCATGCTGGTCAACTTGAGGGGGTGTGAGGGGATTGCATATGTTCAGCACTCGGTGGCCATACATATGCATGACATTGTTACTTCCTCTGCCATAAGTTAACTCCCTCCCTGCAGATCTGCCACAGGAGGTGGGAGTGTGGCACATCTGCTGTGGGTGTGCAGCCACCTAACCCCATGGGACTGCTGGTGTAAATGATGACTAAATTTTTTCCCCATCAGAGCGACAGTGTTGATTTCTTGCTGTTCCAAGCCAGATCATGTCTGATGCACCAGTGGGGAAGTGTTGCTGTGTTCCACACCGCTGGTATGGCCTGGTGCTAACTGTTCCTTTTGGTTTTATTTATAGGTTGCTGCAAAGGCTCTGGACTGTTGAGCCTCTGGGAGACGAGATGTGGTGGCTGTAGCTGTTAGTGATCAGTTGTGTGATGAGGGCAGTGGCCTGGTTTTACTCCAACATGATGAATCTGTAGCAAGTAAGAATGGTAAGTCTTTAGAGTAGTAACTGATCACTGGTTTAAATTGAATAAAAAAAAAATGAAAGATGGGGATATACCTTTCTGAAAGGGAGTTGCTCAGCACTCAGTGGTCACCATATATGTGCATGGCTTTGCCACTTCCTCTGCCATAAGTTAACTCCCTCCCTGCAGATCTGCCACAGGAGGTGGGAGTGTGCACAGCTGCTGTGGGTGTGCGGCCACCTAACCCCATGGGACTGCTGGTGTAAATGATGACTAAATTTTTTCCCCATCAGAGCGACAGTGTTGATTTCTTGCTGTTCCAAGCCAGATCATGTCTGATGCACCAGTGGGGAAGTGTTGCTATGTGCATGTTGCAGTATGGCCTGGTATTAACTGTTCCTTTTGGTTTTATTTATAGGGTGCTGCAAAGGCTCTGGGCTGTTGAGCCTCTGGGAGACAAGATGTGGTGGCTGTAGCTGTTAGTGAATCAGTTGTGTGATGAGGGCAGTGGCTTGGTTTGCTTGACCACATGTGCCGCTGCATCAGGGGAGATTGAATGGTAAGTCTTTGATCACCTATGTTCACTGGTTTAAATAAAGGGAAGGGGTTGCACCTTTCTGCAAGGGAATTGCTTTGCAGTGCTTTGGCAGGTTTGTGTCCCTGGAGATGTGACAGAGGTGTAGAGTGACACAGTGTTGCTGGAGGGTCCCTTTTAAATATCAGGATGGACGTGGGTATCAGTCCCTGTTGAAAAACTCCAGTTGCCTTTTGCCATCTTTCCTGTAAGGATTATAATACTGTGTCCCTTGTTCAGGACATGAAAACTTTTCACAATGTAATTGATTGCCTTTTAATGTTTGGCTGATGAGCATCTGTTATAATGACTTAAAGGGATTTTTTTAACCCACCAGATTGGCAATGCTGATGCATCTTCTGTTTTAGCCAGATTGATTGACGCCATAGATGCAAGATGCTTCAGTTCCTCGTGGGTGTATATTGAGGCTACTTGCACTTGCACCTCTATTGCAGGGAAATACATTCCATGCTTAGAGGGTCGGCAGCACTGGAGGGTGCTGTCTGCACATACAGTAACACTGATTGTATAATGCTATCTGACATGTGTAAGAGAGGATAAGTAAAAATTCTTTCAAAAGATCTTAATAGCAGAGAGCTCTGAAGGACTTCAGTTTAAGGGCACAGCTTTTTTGCCCCATTTAAGCAGCGTTTAAACGAGGTGCTTCTTACAGAGAGCCAGGGAGCTTTTCTTGATACTTTCCCCCTGGCCCTTCCAGTAGAAGATTCTCAATGCCCTGCAGAAAATGGATGAAAATCAGCTTCCAGCAGTGTGTATATTTGCAGGAGGAGGATTGCCTTAGGTGTTTTTGTTTTTTGTTATGATTGTGACATCTGAAAGCTCAAGTGTTGGATTGGTATTTCACTAATGCTCTAGAAAAATGTGCTTAATGGAACTTCTTTGGATAAGCAGCTGTTGTCACTGGCTTCATTTAGTTACAACCTTGCATTGCTGTTTAGGTGCCTCTTGTTCAGCTATTGTATATCAATGTCTTTTTGGTAGCTTCTGTCTATGGAGAGTATAAATGTGACCTTCTTATGGTACCGTTGAGTTCAGAAGTTGTAGGGCAAAAGTGGTCTGTGTCAGGTTGTGAAGCTGGTAGAGCTGACAAGATACAGTATTCTGGTGTTCTCTGCTCAGCTCTCCCAGGTTTTTATCAAGTACTGGAATAGCTCCTGCAGTTTTAAGTATGTCCTATTTGGGGTGCCTGGCAGAGAAGTTTCTGCTGTTTGCAGAGGAACCCTTGCTGTATAGTTTTGTGGGGCTAGTTGAAAGCTGTATGTTTACTGTTTGCAGTAGAGTGGACTGACAAATGTTGGCTGTTTTCTTGACAGGTTGAGATTTGTCAGAAGTTGTCCTGGGACCTGCTGTGATTTCAGTGCACTAGCAGAAAGCTGTCTTCTGCTAATGATGTCCCTCTCCATGCTGCTGCCTGTGATCACTTGTCCAAGCTACAGCATTCACATCACCCTGCCAGCGGCTCTGGTCTTTTCTCAGACCTAGCAGGAGTGATAAATTGGTGTCCTGCCAACTTACAGACAGAGGGTGTTACATTTTTCTTTCCCTTGGTATGAGGCATTTAACTGTCATGGATTCTGGAACTAGCTGTATGTTTAATGTAATTGGATGCTTTTGTCTCCGAGGGCTGCATTCTAAGGGCTGACAGCTAATGCTGCCCTACCACAACCATGAGAAGTAAGGAAGCTTTTCCTCAGAGCAGTTGTCAAGTTGGGGAGGATGCACTGCTGTGTAAAGAGGGTGGGATTCAAGTCTTGGCTCTCTCCTGTCATCCAGGAAACTTTAGTGATGTATCATTGGCAGCCTGTAAAGTGGGGAAGTGGATGCTGCAGCACAGTGTCATTTCTGTACTGTTTAGAGCCTGTTTTTAATAAAATCTGAGTATTAGATGAATTTGGCTGGTGACTGAAATTCTCTTCACATGCCTTTAACAGCCAGTTTCTGGATCTCCTAACTGGTTTTGGGAGTTGGATGGCAAGAATGCTTGTTTGTAATCATTGCTTACATAGAGGTGTCTGCTGCCTCAAGCTAGGAGACCTTGGGACCTCATGGTCATAGCTTCACATACCCTGAAGTACAAGCGCTAGCTAAGCTGAAGACTTGTGGCTGCTGCTGTACTGCAGGAAGCAACATGGGGGTACAGGTCTCTGCATATAACAGCTGAGTGCTAAAAGGTTGACAGTGGGTCTGTTTTTTGGACCAAAGGGAGAGGTATAGTCTGCACTGTGTTTGCAAAAAGGCTCTCCCTCAGTTTCTCCCTTAGAGTAAAACATGATTCAGTGGTGGTTTTAGCTGGCCTGGTAAAAGTTACAGGTCAGCATGTTCCCAGGTGAGTCACTCACTGGCTTTACAAATTCTTCATACACGAGTCTTAGAAGTGACAGCAGTCTGGGAAAGAGGGGAAAGGGATGTCAGCTGTTGTGAGGAATTGGACATTTCCCTTGTGTCATGTGTTCATCTAGCAGGAATGACTGCTTCTGGCTAGAGACTTGGTGACAGATGTTCATCCAGATCCTGCAGCATTCCCCTGGATGTTCTTTGGCAAACTTCCAGCTTTGCAGAGAAGGAGAATTTAATACGAGCAGCACGTATGTGCTTCAAGTCGGGAACCACTGAATAGGAGGAAGCTAAAGATTTTTCTAATGCCAGAGAGGTAGCCAAGAGCCCCAAGATGTATTGCTTCCCATACCTCTGATTTGTGTATCCCAGATCAGTTGACTACACATCCGGCCTCAGCAGGAGTGAAAATTCTGTGTAAATGTACCTGTGCCGTGTGATGTCTGCACACAGAGGTGTCAAATGGTGGTGAGTGTTCTGCAGGGAGGGAGAAAGCATTCTCGGTCTGCTGTGCCCATTAGCCTGGCAGTCAGGAGTGATGTCTGATGCACAAATGGACCTCGGCAGATGTCTCATGCAGGTCCTGGTCTGGTAGCGTTTGTATACCCCACTGGCAATGCAAATGAAGTACATGGCCCCTTCAGATCAATCTGTTGTGAAGAACTGGAATGTATATTAACCTGCAGTCTCTCAGACAGCAGGTTCTGACAAGCCCTGGGCCTAATGATGGAAGGAAGTGATCCCCATGTGCTGTTGGAGGGAAGCAGCACAGCAGGTATGTGCATTAGGGCTGGGGTTAAAACCCAATTCTCCTGCAGCTTCATTAGGTTCCTGAGGAGTAGGGCTATCTGGCAGCTGTTGAAGGTTCCTGTGCTGCTAGTTCTGAGCCTGTGGAAGCCTTTCTCTGATGGGTCATACATGGTAAATACCAACTGAGGAGCTGCTGCCTGGAAGAAGCAGGGGCTGCAGTGAACTAGCTAGACCAACAGGGGCAATTGCGCTTGAAGAAGCAGAAGGGCAAAAGTGAGGTGTGGGTAGTAGGCTGAGGAAATGTTTAAGAAATGATGTCTTGCAGCATTTGAAATATTGTGTTACTTTTACTGCTGAATAGGAACAGCCTAATTAATACTATAGTGGATTGGAGATTATTTACAGCAACTACAAGTTTAGAGGGTATTTCTGCTACTTAAAAACATAAATAACAGTTTCAGTGGTTAGGGGAGGGAAACTGAACTGAAAGTGGCCTTTGGCATGTATGTTCAGTAGGAAACAGCAGTGATGGAAAATTAGCTATTAGCATTTGAAGCAGTCTTATATTAAACTGGGTAGAGATTTTTCTCATTCAATTAATATAAGCAGCATGATGTCTTGAAAAAACATACTGATGAGGGATCAGAGCTGCTAATATAATTACTTTCATACTCTAATGAGCATACCTACCAGCAAGCACGCTTTAAGGAATGGAGAGTGCTGGTTGTGCAGTTGGAGCTGTTAGGACAGATGTAGCTGGAACATGCTCTTTCCATGTTTTATTACCTCTTCTAGAAGAGTTGCTTAGGTTAAGATTCAAGCACTGCTATTGCATACATGCATAGGGTTGGAAGACAAAACTGATAGCTGATCCACTGTAGGCAACCTCTAGTCTGGATGCCAGGGGCTAGGTAGGAGGAGGACCTGTGCACTGCCTGAAAAGCGACTTTGGGTCTCTCCTGACCTGGCAGCTGTAGGGGGTGCTGTGTGCATGCATTACCCAAAGCTTAGGGCCAGATGAGTTTCTAAATCAAACTGCTTGTTGAGTTGTTCTGTGTGTGTATAGTCGGGGTACTTTCACCTTGTTGCTATAGCAGTGTGCAGTAATAAACCTCTGGACCAGTGAGTATTAGCTTATCTGTAAGACGTATGGCAAGGCGGAGACAAACCCTGAAAGTAACATCTGAACTTGTCAGTCTTTTATTTAGAGGAGCTGAGGTGGATGAAGTCATCCATACTGACAGGCTTCTTTTTCCACAGCTTTCATCTGCTGGCATTGCTGATATACCTGCAAACAGTTGGGCTCCATAAGTGTGCCTTCATTTTATATCTGTCTCTATGGTGTTTTTTTTTTCTAGTTCTGGAACTGGTTTGAGTCTAGAGAGCATCCCCTGGTATGCGTTCAGCACCTTTGCTCCAAACTTCCACATACCATGCTCAAACGTGTGACTTCTGTGTGTAATCATAATCTATTCAAAGCCTTGAGCTGCAGTGGACTTCCTAGTACAACTGTGTGACAGTCAAGCAATGAAGTAGGCCTCCCAGTTAATACAGAAACCATCAAACTTTATTGTCTATAACAAACATGGAGGCAAGATCACTCCATTTGAAAATCCCTTAATATAGATAGCCCTTTGATAAAAGATGGGGAGGGTGTTAGCACTGAATTTTAAGGTAATTTTCAGGTCTCCTCCTCAGAACTGTCTTTGGCATTTGTTGCCCCATTGCTTGCCTGAGTTCCGCAGGTACTGGTGAACTCCTGAGACGGGTAGGAGAGGAAGGCCAAGAGGTATGTTTTGGGCAAAGGCTGATTCACAGCTTTTTTTCTCTGCACTGAATGCTCCCTGCTACCTCTCAGAGGTTAGCAAAGGGTTATCGCAGCATGTCCTGAGCTCGTATTCTGCTGAGCTGCTGTGAAGTGCCTGAACAGGGCAGTGAGGATGAAGGCAGAATTGTCTTCATCAGGTTCCATCAGGTCTAGCAGGAACAGACAATGCTGTGCACGCTTGAGCATAACTCTAAAACTGAAATCTGGAGTCACTCACTAGGCTGGTATGTTTAAGCAAATGTTTACTTTTCTCAAACAGCTCTGTTTCTTGGTGCCTTGAGCATTTGAGAGGAAAATAGCACAGATTATTTCTGTCTGATGTTGTTTTTAATAGACATGTTTTCATACACAGTGAGAGGTTTAACATTTATATTCCCAAAGACCCAGGCATCATTTTGACTGCATGGTGATTTTTCTTTTCGGATCCATCTGTTAAGCGGCTGCATTAGCTTATGAAATAGCATGGTCCATTTACTCATTGCTGCTTCTACTCTTTGCATTATTTCGTTTGCCTCCCTCTCTGCTCAGTGATGGATTAAGTTATCTGACACATCGACTGTGCTGACAGGCTAGATGCTATCATGGACAGCAATGAAGCAAAGCTTGGTTTTGTGATTGCCCTAAGAAGACCCGTGTTTCAGGACACTCAGACTGCCACACAGGTATTAAGGGGAAGACTTCTTTTTGAAGCAGAGGGTTTCTTTGTCCTACAGCGTCCAGTGTTTTAGATGTTCTGCAGCTGTAGGCTTCTGTTCTTCTTTCACTCTTTATGCCAGATCCCTTTCAGTAGTGGGGATCTAAGTAGTAGCTACTCTAAGTAGTAGTAGCTAAGTGTCTTGGTTCAGCCTGATTCTCCATTTTTGTGCTGGGGGATCTGCTGGTTTATTATAGCATGTAGGGTTCCTGGGCACTTTCCTATCCAAGTGTTGGGCACAGGGTGCAGGTAGGGCTGAGGCACTTGGGCACTGACTGGTTGTCTTCTGGCAGCCTTCATCTTGCAGAACAGTTTATGTCACTCTGCTCCCTGCTGTGACTTCTTGCTCAGACCACCTGGCCAATGCTCAGGTTGAGCTCACTGTAGAGGGAGGACTGGTGTGCTGTCAACAGGGTGAAAAGAGAAGGGACAGTGAGAGCTCTGGTTTTCTGCTGAGGTTCCAAGCACACACCACGAAAATCTCCCCTTTGCCCAGTGATACCTACCAGAGATTGGTGCTAAAGCCTTTTAGATTGTTCCACAGTAAATTAAACTGGAGAAAAGTGCTAGTTATCTTCATGTTTACAGAAACAGGTACTCTGGTGTCTGAAGAAATTCTCTTCACCTGTTTCCTGCTCAGTGCCAATGTAAGGCTAGCAAGGACTGGATGTAGCCCCTTTCACACACTTTCCAGTGACTGAAATGGGCTCAAGTCTTTTATAAAGCGGATAGGAAACATCTGGCAACTTGCAGGTAGAGTTGTCTTGGTAATAGGTAAAGATGTTCTTTATGCAAGACCATGTTCATGGTGTACATCAGATATCCCTGCATCAGATAAATTGCAGGGGTGTTGGACTAGATGGCCTTTAAAGGAACCTTCCAATCCAAACTATTCTATAACTCAAAGCAATTCCATTCTGTTCTCTAAGATTGATTTGGGTTCATAGAAATGGCTTCAAGACCATTTCTGTGTTACCTGAGTATCTGCAGTTCTTCAGTGTTATAGCTAGAAAAGTTTCCACTGGATAGTCTGCACTTCGCTGTGCCGGTCACTTGCTGTGTTTGGTTTTGAATGCTGTGCCTGGGTGAGCTTGAAGTCTTCCCTCCAGTGCTGAGAATAAGCTTGACTTCCTTAGTCTTTTTTCAAAGCAATATTAAAGCCAGGGGCTGTCCTAATTTCTCTGCTTTATGCAGATTCCCTTGAGTTCATTTAACCTTCCTCAGTGAGGATCTCCAGAGAGACTTGGAGATGCAGTCTCAGCGTTGACTGGACAAAGAAACAAG